AAATTGTCAACTGCAACAGAACTAAAAGCACAACAGTGCTAGATCCATTTTAGTCACACTTCACTCTTCACTGAATGTGCCACAGTCAGCAACCTTCTGAAAATGGCAGAGGGTTGTGTTTTAATAACAGATATAGTCTGGTCCCGATGTGGGAACGTCCAATGTGGACGGGGTTAAGTACAAAATAACAGCCTTGGTGAGTGTTGATTTTTATCGCAATAGTCTCAAAATCACATAAATAAAAAGGACAGATGACGTCCTCCTGCAGTGCACCTGACAGACACAAACTCTCAGTGAGGAGACACAAAGCTTAGCCAGCCACTCTCATATCTGATCATCTTGATAAAGTTCAGTGTGCTGGCCCGACTGGAGCACAGTGTGGGCTTATTGTCTCTGCTCTCACCATCTCAGCGTCCAGACTTCCCTGAGTCTGGCTATAAGTTTAGATACGACTCTGGCAGGATGCCACCCCTGGCATTTCCAACTGGCATGGCCCGCCAGTTCCTATTTCCAACCAACTCTGTCATGGTAGTTTTCCCATTTAAATGGCTCCAGCTAATAAATAACTACATCTATCCCCCCAAATCCTCTCTCCCCTGACTGAACACCCTTACAAAAACAATCCCGGGCCATTTTCAAAAGGAAACTGCTGACTAACCAAATTCTTTTCAGTGGTGCCGACCAGCCAACCATCGGTGTGATCATCTCCTGCTTCCCACTCCCTTGGGATGGGGGTATCATCTGGACATGCTGGATGCCATCTGGGCAAAAAACCTTCACAAACTTACAGAGTAGCCTTTGATGGATGAACCCATGTTTGCACTTGATCTTAAAGCTAACTTGTTAAGCTACACTTACTTGAGAATGTCAGTCTGACCTCGTCTCGGGGAGAGTTGGGAACTACATACGAACTTGTTTTCTCGCTATGCTGCTGCATTCTAGTTCAAAAAGCTTCATGTGACCTTTACTCTCAGTCACGTCTGCGGTGTTAGAGTTATCACTGCTGTGAGATAAAGGTCTTGATGAACTCTGTAATTGTATGAACTCCACCCCACCCAGAGGACACCAGCCTCAGAAGCTCTTCTCGCTCTAGTAGCTTGTTGTAATTTCCAGTGGGACATATGGCCACTGGGTACATGCCTGGAAAAAAAGCAGGTATGCACATGTAGATAGACACACACACACACACATAACGGACACACGCATTCCAGCTAAAAGGAATTCCACTGTTTACTTATGAATTACTGTGTCCACAATATTTGCCTTGACAGACAAAGTAGTAGCTCTAGAACCAGGGAGAAACAGAATCCGTGGATAATGAGTGACAGGTGACACTAGACAGGCTCCCAGTTTGCCCAGCTGCTGTGTAACAGGTCCAGTGGAAATAGTTCTATGTTGTCACAGGAACAACTGATAAGCAATAAAAGATTCTGGAAAAGGATTGGTCAAACTCAAGTATCTGAGCCAAGATACTTTCAAGACAGAACAACCACGAGCTGTTATTGAGTCTTGCAGCTGGAGACCTGCTATCATCTTCAAAACAAGTGCATGGATTTTCACACTTTTCAGTAGCAAGACAATTCTCCGGTAATGTTAATGTTACATTAGCTTATCTAGATCAACAACCCCTTTAACGCCAGAGTGACAGTCCTTGCTGGTAACCTACTGTATGCTGAGACACAGTATGCTAAGTTATATATGGTCTTAATGAACAAATGCAAAAATTGAAGTGTAAAACCACAAACAATGACTTATGTCACATGAATACACACAAAAAAACAACAACCCAGACAGTCTTCTACAGCCTTCGCAAAAACAGAGGCACACTATCATACACCCACATATCAACATTCCCACCCTGGTTACATCTCAGTGACATCCAAAGCCTGTCAGAGGAAGCGTGAGAAGAATTCTTCAGGGGCCTCAATTCGCCCACTCTGCTAATAAACCCACTGATGCAGCTGCAGGACAATCTGTGCGAAACATCTTCAAGGCATAGACAAGAAAAAAAAAAGAAACTGGACCAAGCTCATGCCAGATATGAGTCTTGCTTGTGAGGATTACTCACAGTAAGGAAGTAGCAGCAGGTTTAGCATTTAAAAACACCTCTGGAGCTCACACAACTGATCAGCTTTTGTTCCCACCTGAGCGCGTGATAAGCCAACACAGAAAGATGAAAGCTGAGGCGCCATTGCTCATTCCATCCCATTGATTCAAACCAAGTTGTGACCTTTCAAGCAAGCAGAAACCTTCATAAGATGAATTCCCAACCTCCTTGACCCTCCGGCCCTCCCTAACCACCCTGCACTCTCTTTTACACTTTCCCCCCTCAAAGACGAACAATATCTGCTTAGACTTGAAGTAGCAGCATGTACTAAACAGGATTGGAATGTAAACTGCAGAGAGCATTAAGTGGATGAAAGCTTGACACATGCTCTTCTCTTAAGGTAGAGAAGGCTGAAAAAAAGGAGCCCACCAAGCACTACCAGGCACCAATGAGGCCTGAGTTGCAGAAGCCCGGCACTCCCTTTACTTGACCCGCTGCTATCTGAGGAGTAGGTGCGGGAGTGTTCACAGGGTTGCATTAAATCAGGGCCATTACAACACCTTGATAATGTAAAAATAAATGCTGTGCATACATGTCCACACAGAGATTTAGATGCCTAAAACAACAAGATGAAGGTGTGGGATTAAATGGCATTACAAACATAGCTCCCGTGCACGATTTCAAGAAATTCTAGATGTTTTTTTTTTTTTTTGCCCGACAACATCTTTTGCAGCGCCAACATAAATAAGGTAATCTTCACATATGCTTGACCTTGTATTGTGAAAAAGTGATGAAAGGGGAAAAAAAGAACACACCCAACAGAAATTTTCCTTTTCTACACCTTTCTTGCAGGAACAAGAGCCACAGACATCTCATCATTTTTTGACAGCAAAACTGTGGCGATAGGGCAGCTTTGTGTGAAAAAAAAAAACAACAAAAAAAACAAGCTTCCTATGTGTTTAACCCTTCCTTGGAGTGTTTGGGGAGTCGACTAACTGCCACTTGTGACACTAAACCTCTGCCTGAGCGTTTGCCGGATAAAGGGCCCGATGAGTGAGGCCCTTCTCTTCCCTGCAGCTCTTTGACATTTCCACAGGGTTTAATCCAAAGCGATTGGCCGATGAGGAAGTGGAAGGAACCTCTTCATTCAACACACAAACACTCTTTGACAACATCCACTGATTGTGCTCTCAAAGTGTTCCATGACTAATACTGTGAGTGCGACGAACAGT